GAGATGTGTGTGGGTGTGTGGGGTGTGTGAGATGTGTGGGGTGTGTGGGGCGCGTGTGGGGTGTGTGAGGTGTGTGGGGAGTGCGGTGTGTGTGTGTGAGATGTGTGTGGGTGTGTGGGGTGTGTTGGATGTGTGGGGTGTGTGGGGTGTGTGGGGTGCATTAAGTGTGTGTGTGGCGTGTGTGGAAAGCATGTGGGATGTGTGGGGTGTGTGGGGTGTGCGATGTGTGTGAGATGTGTGTGGAGTGTGGGTATGTAGGGTGTGTGTATGGCTTGTGTAGGGTGCGTGTAGGGTATGTGAAGAGTTAGTCCATTTTCTCCTGAACTCTAATCAAGACAAAGGAGCCAAATATACAATTGAGTGAGCCTTACTCGCGGTTATTTAAAGGAACAGCGGCCAGTCTTTGAGGCGCGGGTAATAACAGTGGCAAACAATAACAGAAAAAATAAAACTCGGTACTAGTGACGGAGAGCGCATTTTCTCGACGACACGGACAGACAGACAGACGGTCGGGTAGACAGACGTACGGACAGACAGACGGACAGACGGACAGACGAACAGACGGACAGACGGACAGACGGACGTACGGACGGACATGATGAGCACAATAGCGCCTTTTTTCAATAAATGAGAATTTCGCTAATAACGTAAATGACAACAAAAAAGAAGAAGCGATATAAAATCCACCAATATCCTCCTCCGCTCCAACGGTCATCCACCAATATCCTCCACCGCTCCAACGGTCATCCACCAATATCCTCCTCCCGCTCCAACGGTCATCCACCAATATCCTCCTCCCGCTCCAACGGTCATCCACCAATATCCTCCTCCCGCTCCAACGGTCATCCACCAATATCCTCCTCCCGCTCCAACGGTCATCCACCAATATCCTCCTCCCGCTCCAACGGTCATCCACCAATATCCTCCTCCGCTCCAACGGTCAGCCACCAATATCCTCCTCCGCTCCAACGGTCAGCCACCAATATCCTCCTTCCATTCCTACAGACAGGGAGAAGGATATTGGTGGAATATTGGATCAATTTTTTTAATTTTCCAAATTTTTATTCAATTTTTTATATCGCCGCTTAATGGGGAAATTTGTTCAATTCTCGCTTGTATTGCTGATTTATTTGTTGTTTTCTCGTTAATTTGGTTTTACTATGAAAATTAATTATGGGTTAAAGACCGAAAAAATTATTCGCTAACTTCAACGATCATCCATAAATTCTTAACATTTCAACATCAAATGTCACAGTCGAAATAATTCGTTAAATTGTAATGTTAGAGCATCAAGTTCAACTTAAAATTTAAAGGATCAATGCATTCAAACTTGAAAATAAAATTCCTTTCTGCGTTGAAAGGGCAATCGGTAAGACTGACGCCTATGGCCGCCAATATGCCGCCTAAAACACGACCCTAATTTTTAATAAGGTCTTATTTAATGCAGACACTTCACTCAACGCCTAAACCATGAATGAATTGCTCTGAATATCCCTATAGAAAATGAATACCCATTTGGAATGTATCTGATTTCATTGTTTTTTTTTTTTTATTTGAATTTCCGAATGGGACAAAAGGCGGTCGCTCTGCCGCAGTCGCTTAGCAAAATGAAGTCTTGGGACGCACACAAAAAACCCTGTGTGACAATATGAGCTCCCGCGACCCCTTGTAGAACAATTCACATACCCGTTAGGACCAATTCTACACCCCTCACCCCAATGGGGTACGATTTATACCCCTTCTTAAAATGCAATTCCAAAAACCCCATGGGGGCAAATAACTAACCCCTCACCCCCTCCTTTTGGTAAATTAATTCAGCATCAAACATTCACATTCAATATTTGAATTTTCCGAACATAGTTTTGAGGATAGTGACACTTGAGGCGATCACAGTTACGGGGAATGCAACTTTGATCTGTTGAACAAGCATATCTGTTGAACAGGACGCTATCACCTCGTCTGTTGAACACTCATCTGTTAACAGTTCGCCCGCTATTTTTCGTCTGTTGGACACGCATCTGTTGAACAGGACATCCACTATCACCTCTCCTGTTGAACACGCATCTGTTAACAGTTCGCCCCTATTATCTCATTTGTTGAACACGCATCTGTTGAACAGGACATCTACTACCATCACGTCTGTTAAACACTTATCTGTTAACAGTTCGCCCGCTATATCTCGTCTGTTGGACACGCATCTGTTGAACAGGACGCCTCCTATCACCTCGTCTGTTGGACACTCATCTGTTAACAGTTCGCCTCTATTATCTCGTCTTTTGAAGACGCATCTGTTGAACAGGACGCCCTCTTTTATCTCGTCTGTTGAACACGCATCTGTTGAACAGGACGCCCCCTATCATCTCGTCTGATGAACACGCATCTGTTAACAGTTCGCCTCTATTAAGCCACAAACAGGCCAGGCGTTCACACTCGCATGGTTCCTTTACGGCCACGTCTGTTTAACAGCGCCTCTTATTACTGTTTGCGCTGACGCTTCACACTCAGGATTGTCGCGGGATCTTTGGAATGATCCCAGGATTGTAGGATTCTTTTCCTAAGGATCAGGGATTTTTTTGCGACAATTTGGACCGGTCGAGATGGCACACAAAGAAATTGTGGCAACTTCTGTGTTTGCTTCAGTGACTCCAGCTGTCAAATACAAGCATAGATTCCTTCAGCAATTCGTGTGTAGAGTCTGAATCTTTCCAAGAGTCTGAATCTTTTGTACGGCATTGACTCAGCCGTCTTATTGAACCCGCAGGATTCGCATTGAATCCTAGAGTTTAATCCAGACTTGCATTCTAATTTCGCGCGCAAAAAGTTCGTTCGTTCCAAAAGTATTTAATACAGAGCATTGAAAACTACCGCGTCTGTGTTTGTATAACGGGTCACAATTCTTGTATGTTTCAAAATGTATGAAATTAAATTTTCAGGCCTATTTTTATGCACTATTTTCACAATAATAGTGCATGCAAAATAATAATACTGCATTCAACTTTATTTATTATATTTTACACTGTATATTTCTCCAAATAAAACTATACCTGAATCGGGTATAGGGATAGCTCGAACATTAATCTATAATTATATAGGCGCAGTCTTAGTTACAATTGTATAATTGTAATTGTGGTCTAAATTGAACTATTCAATTAATTTCCAGGTCCTAAAGCTTTTAACTTTGAACTTTCCTACCTCTGACCTCGCATGACTAATATAAACATATTTGTATTTTATAGTACCTCGCTCTACTGCCTTATTTAATTGCGAATAATTAAAATGACTTTTTCATGTGAGCTTCAAGATAATTTGATATTTAAGTTTACTATCAAGTTTAAAATATGAAGCAAAACAATTCTCCTACTCATTTTAAGTCTCGTTTTGCGATGAAACTATTTATTCAATGTTATTCATAGAGATGAACCCTATGACCCCACGCCCAGCACTAGAGGCTATCATTGCTCATCGTATCCATCGTATCATTATCATCAGGGATCAGATTAATAAAACACGTGTAATTCTTCGTAATTTTTAATATGAAAGTTCGCACGACAATCAACAATGAGACAACAAAAGCGGAGCAACTGAACGCTTATCATCATTAAAACTACCCTCACACCCCTCACTTACAAACCTTAAACCCCCCTCCCCTCATTCCCCAGCAATTCCCTACCCTCACATTCCCCACACTCCTTCCCCTCTTCCCCCCTCTACCTACTCAACAACTTCCATTTTTCCTTCCTTTCACTCCTTCCTTCTCCCATTCCTCTCCACTCTTCCTTAAACTAGCTAACCTCGGAGCTCTCAGGCCGAGGGTAAATGAGTTCCTATAAGGCTCTTTAAAGCTCTCTTTAAGAGCCGTGCTGCGGCTCTCAAATGCCGGACAAAGCGCTGACCAGTGGCTTTTGTACGCTGAAAATTGTCTGCTGTGGGCGTAAAGAGACAAAGGCATTTTACAGCTCTTTAGAGAAAGATAGAGACAGCTCTTTAGAGAAAGATAGAGACAGCTCTTTAGAGAAAGATTGAGGCAGTTCTTTAATGAAAGATAGAGACAGCTGTTGAAATAAAGATATAGGCAGCTATTTAAAGAAAGATAGAGACAGCAACTTAAAGGAAGACAGAGACAGCTCTTTAAAGAAAGATAGAGACAGCTCTTTGAAAGCTCAGATAAGAGCTGGACTGCTGGCTTAAAAAGTAAGCACAGAGTCTGCAAGACTCTTGAGAGCAAGTGTTACATGGAGTTATTTAAGAGTTAGAAAGTGTAAAACTCCAATATAAAAAAGAGCTACAGCGTTTTTTTAATTAAAGAAAAAGAGTACGAGTTAAAGAGCTCCTAGCTGCGTAAAGAGCGATGCAGTAAAGAGCCCAATAACATGTTATACGCAAGGTTCAAGCGAAGTATACACTACAGCATCTTTCCTTTCAATAAAGCCGCTCTTTAACGAGAGCTTCTCTTTAACGGGTTACATATGAATAGTCCTCATTTTAGTTTAGTAAAGAGTATATATTTTATAAATTCATGGCAGTTTAATTAAAGAATGAGTTGAGTAAAATATGTCACAAGCGCAATATAAATTAATTACAACAGATGTCTCTATCAACAGAAGATGAAATAATATATAAGCAGGTTAATTGAATTGTTAAAGATGCATTAAAATTCATTTGTTATGGGTATTCATCATATAATTGAATACTTTAGACACCTCTTGAGAGATCGAATTTCTAAGATATTTCCCACAGTTAGAGGCCAAGATAAGGTCCCAAAAAAGAGCTCAAAATTCCAAGAGTTCTCTAAGGGCACGAGGGCAAGATAAGGTCCCAATAAAGAGTTCAAATTCCTAGAGTTGTCCAAGGGCAAGAGAGCAAGATGAGGTCCCAACTAAGAGTTCAAAATTCAAGAGTTCTCTAAGGTTAAGAGCACAAGATAAGGTCCCATTTAAGAGTTCAAAATTCAGGACTTCTCTAAGGGCAAGAGCGCAAGATAAGGTCCCATTAGAGAGCTCAAAATTCCAAGAGTTCTCTAAGGGCAAGAGCGCAAGATAAGGTCCCATTAGAGAGCTCAAAATTCCAAGAGTTCTCTAAGGGCAAGAGGGCCGAGATGAGGTCTCAATAAAGAGCTCAGCATTGCTAATCTCTTGATGTGATCTCGCTCTTTATCTCGCTCTTTATGCCTGCTCACTGAACTGGACTCTCAAGAGCCGAGCAGTTACAGGATTTAACCGACGGATTTCAATGGAAGATTTTGCACGAGGATTTGAAGGCGGATCCGAATGAAGTATTTTGGGATTTATTATGAAGCTTGCGTTTGCCAAAGTAAAAGCTACTAATAATAGCTGGTAAAAAGAGCCTGCAAAAGCTGCAAATAATTGGTAATAATGAGATAATTTAATTAGAGTTGGTTATGTCTGGTATTGAATGAAAGATTGTAAGTTCGACAAGCTCTGCAGTAACAAAACATGAGAACAAAAGTGTTAAGTCGCTCAGGAGCTGTTAAATGTAAAACATCGCATATTCAGAACATTACGTGTTCCGACCATAACTTGCTTATTTAAGGACCAATGTTTTTTCTTTAACAAAGTCGCGGCCTCAGTTGCTCACAAACTATATTCTATCTTAATATCATTTGGCAACATAGATTCATAAAAAATATTAATTATTCACTGTAGACGAGTATTACTCACTGTAGATGAGAATTTTAATTTGGTTACCTTAGACGCATCTTAATCTCAACGTTATTTCTTACGCATTACTGCAAAAACTTATTTTAAACGTAGCACGCAATGTCTGCTCTGTAAATAAAAACTACATTCACATTCATTTACCTTGCTTCCTTTAACTCGTTCAACTTATACAGTAATCCAGCTTTATTCATTAAATAACGAATGAATTTTAAAAATTAACATCGCGTCATGAGCATGGCGGGAGGCATAAAAATCGTACAAGTTAAAATACTAAAAAAATTATTTAATCCATAATTACTGTTTTTCATTAAGTCAAAGATGTAGCCACGGTTATCTATTTAAAAAAAATCTACCGTACGCTATAAATTGAAAAATAAATATGAATTTACTGATTATTTGTTTTAGGGAGTTACGGATCATTGTTGCCTTATGTACATTGGTTAAGTCTAGACTGTACTATCTTTATCTGTACTGTCTAGACATGGTATTAGACTGTACAATATCTTCATGTTGCGCTCATTATAACTAGGAAAATAACTAGAAAAAAATTCGTACTAGAAAAACTAGCCTGGCAATGCCAGATGCACAGAAGGACTTGCTATGTCGTAAGTCAATCACCAATCAGGATGATAGAATTGACGATAGCACAGACAATATTCATAAAGAGTCTCTACTTACGAACATCGTAAATGAGACTTCTGCTTACGACCATCGTAGGTAAGACTTATACATATCACCATCGTAAGTGAAATTTCCACTTACGACTATCGTAAGTGATATTTCCACTTACGACTATCGTAAGTGATATTTCCACTTAAGACTATCGTAAGTGATATTTCCACTTACGACTATCGTAAGTGATATTTCTACTTACGACTATCGTGAGTGATATTTCCACTTACGACCATCGTAAGTGATATTTCCACTTACGACTATCGTAAGTATTTGAGAGAATGCAGCCCCAGGTCACAATAACAAACAATAACACCTGTCGTAACAGTACAATAATTGAGGAGCTTGCATTACAATTACAATATTTACACGCGTCAAAAGAATGGCCGCCGTTATTACGACCATAATTAATTACCGGGACTAAATTTTTCGTGAGATAATCCATGAATATTTCATGAATGAAAGTTTCATGTATGACGGAAAATTTCGTCTAACTTGAAAACTGTTATTTAGGTAAAGGATTCAACTGGTAACGGTTAATTTTCGTACCACAAACAACACGATTAGGTTTAATAGAAATATTTGCGTTTACATTACTGGAACTAAACCTTATTTTTCTGAATAACATTGGGTTTTATATATAATTTTATTACGTAACGGAACATTTGACATCAACATTGGGTTCAAATTTATCAACATTTACTGCGTATAATAGAACGCGGTGAACTCTATGAATCAGGACATTGAAAAGAACAAGTAGCGTTAGAAAATTTGTGGCCGGATAAATCGTCGCACTTCCATCGTACTATAGACCGCCTCATTTAACCAGAAAATTCCAGTATATTGCAGTATATACTAGTATATTCCAGCATGCACCAGTATATTCCAGTAATGTTCCAGTATATTCCAGTATTATTCCAGTATACGCTAGTATAGACCAGTATATTCCAGCACATACCAGTAGATATCATTATATATCAGCGTGTACCAGTACATATCAGTGTATTCCAGTAACTGCCAGTATAAACTAGCCATTAACTAGTAAAACCAGTATATACCAGTTTAACTGTCTGCGCATTGAACAAACTTTAACCACTAGCCTCCCCCTCCTCCCCCCGTCACAGCAAATAATGTACAAATTGTTTCACTATAAAAAAACGCGCAGCAGATGCACTAAGTGCACTGCATTGTCCTCTAATTAATTCCTAAACAACTTAAAGCTAATGAGATGTTAACCAGTTCGTTAAGCAGAACCAGGTGTGGCTTTGGTGGTACAGCGGCAAGCAGAGGAGTAAAGTACTCGGAACTACTTAAGGTGGTCGTAAGTAGTTTGAACATCGCGGTAATGAGGTTGGTTGTTCGAAAATGTGAGTTATAATAACAGATTGCAAGATTGCTATATTGATGAACTGGTATATTGCTATATGTTTTGATTGGTAGATTAACAGCTTGGTAGATTCGTGGTTTGGTAGAATAGTAGGTTGGTTGAATGGTAAATTGGCAGAGTGGCAAATTGGTGAATTTATATATATGTAGATTTATAGAATGGTAGATTGGTAGATTGGTAGATTGGTAGATAGGTAGATTGGTAGAATGGTAGAAAGGTAAGGTGGTACATAGGAGAATGGTTTATTTATTTATTGATGAACTGGTAGAATGCCAGATTGGCAAATTGATAGATGGTAGATAGGAATGACTGATTGATGAGAGATTTCTACTCGTAGATTGCTAGATTGTAATTTTTGTAGACTGGTAGATAAATTAATTGATGGATGATAGGATTGATAGCTTGATAAGTTGATAAATTGCTTGATTGGTAGATTGTTAGATTACTATACGATTTTAACTGAAATTTGACTTATTTCATCACGGTCATACGAGTGTAGACTGTGTAGATGAATGAAAGAGTTGAACTCAAATAATTCGTGAATGAGAGGATGAATGTATTGCTTAAGTGAAAAACAGTAAAAAAAATTGCGGCTGCTACACCCAAAATATGTCACAGTTGCTTTGAATAATGTCTGAAATTTAGTAATAAATTAATGCTAATAATAATCCCAAAGTTCGTTACATTTGCATTGAATGCTAATTGAAATTTTAAAGTTCAATAAATTGATCATATTTTATTTATTTGTCCAGCTATGCACACAAACTCATGGAAAGACGGTCCCCTTGTAGCCCATGCAGAATGGGATACAAAGTAAAAAAGTTTCCCCTCAAATACGAAGGATTAACCGCCATAACTTGTGACGTGACAAGGAATGAGTCAGCTCTGTCACTGTCACATGCGTCAGCACTGTCACTGTAACATGAGTCAGCACTGTCACTGTCACATGCGTCAGCACTGTCACTGTAACATGAGTCAGCACTGTCACTGTCACATGCGTCAGCACTGTCACTGTTACATGAGTCAGCACTGTCACTGTCACATGAGTCAGTTCCGTCACATGGGTCACGACCTCAGCCTCACCATGTGACACAATTTTAAAACTCTACAAATTTCCAGTGGAGCTTAGCGCCAAGGATGGCTTCTCTAACCACGGCGCTAGTAAAACTATCACAAATATTGACTCTTAAATCTAGAATTAACCTAGAAAATAGCTGTACAAATTCTAGACGAGCGTATCCTCGATTGAGACCGGAACCTGCTGTGCGTCTGTCGCCGTAGCGTCGAACGACGTTACGTCATTTAACGACGTAGAACCAACGTCATCATCGTCCATGTGTTGATCCTCGACATCAGAAGTCGACGAATTCAGAGTCCGAGGGGAAGGGGAGGCTGAACCCTCGAAGCTATACTCAGAAATGGGGTTAATGAGTGAGGGTAAATCATGATTCCCCAATAGCCCAGCGTTCCCCAGAAAGTGGGAGGTCGTAGAAGTTGGGCTAGTCGAAGAAGACCCCCCGATGTTGCCACAGTTTTCGGGGCTTAAGACCCCGGTTCTGAGGAAGTCGTTGTGCGAGGTCTTACCGTCTTTCAGGTGTCGTGGTTTCAGTAGATCGTTTTTAAGAGATTCAGCACCGCCCGGGGGCAGGAGTTTCGCAAGATCCGAAAGGCCGTTATCACGGAAATATATCTGCCTCATTTCGTCACGTTTTTGTCGCATCATGGATTTGTACTCAGATATTCTCATCTTCTTGCCATCGACGATGCAGGTTCTTTTAGGTCGAGGACGGTACCGGTAGTCGGGATGCTTCTCCATGTGTTGCTTGCTGAGCCGCGACTGTTCCTCATAGTACGGCTGCTTCTCGGCGTTACTCATCGACTTCCACTTGGAACCTGGAGGTGGCGAAGAAGGGGTGGTCGAGTTAGGGATCGAGTTGATAAATTTGGAGTTATTGGTATTAATAATGTTGGATATATTGATAAGTGGGAGTTGTTTGTATTGATAGCGTTGGATATGTTGATAAGGTTGGAGTTATTGGTATTGATAATGGGTATGTTGATAAAGTTGGAGTAGCAGCATTACTGATAAAATTTTAGTTAGGAACCGGTTTGATGGCAACGTTGGATTTAGGGGGTGAAGTTGATGATAAAATTGAAATACAGGACCAAGTTGTTGGTAAATAAAATTTTTAAGAAAAAAGTGGTCGGCAACGTTTAATTTGTGGCTAAGTGGTTGGGAACATTAAATTTAGGAAAAAAGTTATTGAGATGGTTGAATTTAGGTTGATAGGTGTTGGCAATGTTGATTTTTTGTTACACTACGGATCTATGTTGTCTCCATCTTCGAGATACAGAGTCAGGGAATATCACCACAATGAACTATCTTAGTACTATCGAGATAATGCTATCATAACTACTATCTTAGAGATAAAATATCACAGCCAAGAACTAATCTGATATCAAGATAATACCTCCCCATTAAATGCTGTAGGATTTAAGACACGGCAGTTAACCACCATGAACTTACCCAGTATCTCAAAGATAACATATCACCCCCATAAACTGACCCAGTATCTTAGAGATACCATATCATCACAATTACCCAGTATCTCAAAGAAAACATATCACCCCCATAAACTGACCCAGTATCTTAAAGATACCATATCATCACAATTACCCAGTATCTCAAAGATAACATATCACCCCCATAAACTGACCCAGTATCTTAGAGATAACATATCACCGCCCTAAACTGACCCAGTATCTTAGAGATAGCGGAGTTGTGCATGTCGGGACAGGCCTTGAGTATCTTGCGCCGCTCGTCCCTGGCCCAGACCATGAAGGCGTTCATGGGACGCTTGACGTGAGGCTTGCCATCCTGGCCCTCCTTGCGGGACTGTCGGATGATCTTCGCGCCGAACATTTTGGCTGTGGGGAGAAATTATGTGTGGGGTGAATATTTGGTAAGTAATGTGTTAATTGGTATTGGCAATAATGCGTTAATTTGTATGTGATAATAATATGTTAATTGGTGTGTAGTATATACATATTGAATAATGTTTTAATTGGTATGAGAAAACTATATATTGAATAATGTGGTAATTGGTATTGGGTTAATGCATATTGAATAATTTATTAATTGGTGTATGATAATAATGTGGTAATTGGTAAAGGGTAACTTAATACTGAATAATGTGTTAATCGGTATGGGGTAACTATGTTTTGACTAATCTTAATTGACATGGGGCAACTATGTAGTGAGTAAAATGTTAATTGGTAGGTGATAACTATATATTGAATAATGTGCTAATAGGTGTGGGTTAAATTTGAATTGAATAATTTGTTGATATGTGTGGGTGAACGTTTATAATGAATTAGATGTCGATGCATATGGCTTAAGTTTCATAATGATATATAGTTCAATCAGTATGGGTCAATTTTGATTCTGAATTACTTATTAATGAGTAAAGTTTAGCTTAATATTAAGTAATATGTTAATTGGCTTGGATTAATTTTATAATAAACCATTTCAATAGGCCTTGTTACCCTTAATATTGAATAACATGTGGATGGTTTGAATCTAGTTTGATAATGAATTAAATTTAAATAATCATGGGTTCACTTAATATTGAATAAAATTTTGATTGGTATGGGTTAACTTTTATAGTGAATAACTTATGAACGTGTACGGATGAATTTTTTAGGACGAATATTTCATAATTTCAATGTATATACGCTCGTAAGTTAATGGAATATATGCTAATCAGCTTGGGTCATTTTTGATGAGTTGCATGCGAATAGGGGGTTAGCTATTATTTATTATATTTTAAATATAATATATTTAAATTGAATAGAATTTTAAATGGTATGAGATAAATTTATAATGAATGAGTGTGATTTGGGTTGGTTGACTTTATGATAAATTACATAATAAAATGTTATGATAAATTTTAGAATGATTTAAATATTAATCTATCTGTCTGATTTTTGACAATGTTTTATGTTTCAAATGGTTAACGTTAATAGGAAATTAATGGAAAAAATTTCCTGTCAAATTTTTCAAATTAAATTTAAATTAATATTCTTAATTATTCTTATAATTAAGCTACTCTAATTGCTGAAACTAACTCTTAACCATCATTGTTCTGTATGATGCGATAATAATATAATAATAATAATAATAATAATATATATTCATAAATATATAATAATTTATTAATAACAACAACCAAACAAGTAACTAGGCTAAAAGAATACAAAGTAATAGTTTTAAGTAATATTTTTACAAAATACATATAAAACCTGGTGTTAGCAAATAATCATGGTAAGATGGATCTTCTATTTATTCAAGTTAGCAACAAAATCATCATTTGTAATATTTATATTGTAATTATGCTTTCGTTCAATTTTGACTAGATCAAAAAAATAAATTAAATAAATTTGATACGAAAGCACATTCATATGAAGGTATAATATATTATGCAGTAATTATAATATATATTTAAGTACGTAGTATATATTGTAGAGTATAAGTGTAAGTACATATGTATTGTAGATACAATCTATTATGGATTAATAATAATTCTATGAGCATTTCCCCCCCTTCTGCAGTTGACAGCTTGGATCTGTAAGGTCGTCGGAAGCAAACATTTCTATTACGACCCGACAAAAGGCCGCCACATGACTGCCACAACCCGACAAAAGGCCGCCACATGACCCGCCACAACCCGACAAAAGGCCGCCACATGACCACCACAACCCGACAAAAAGCCGCCACATGACCCGACAAAACCCGACAAAAGGACGCCACATGACCCGACAAAAGGCCGCCACATGACCACCACAACCCGACAAAAGGACGCCACATGGCCGCCACAACCCAAGGACAAAAGTACGGGAAAACCCGACAAAATACGGGGAAAGTGCATCCATTTTTATCACGGATATGTGTCGCGTGCGCAAAATATCAGCTGGCATCAGCCAAAGAAATCGGCAATATTTATTATAGTTATAAAATGAATATTTTATTTATTTATTATATATGTCTTACAATATCGAACACTTGAAACGCTCAAATGATAGAGATGTTAAAAATACACCAGGCAATTCTATATACTAAATTGAAAATCATGCATAGTATTGAAATTAGGCATTCAAATATTCGTATCAAATCCCGTAGACTTTTGTGTTTGTAACGATACCCTTCACTGAATGAGGCACAGCTAGAAGCCCCAACAAAATATTTTATATTTATAGGCACTCCCATATATCAAATTATCAAATAAATATCCAAACAACTTCATGTCTCTTTCACCAATACATTGTCATACAAGCCACTAGTGAAATATTCATTATCTACATCAGCCATGAAAAAAATTTCCTACATTGCATACATGCAAAACGATATTTCACAATCATAAGATAACCTAATGTTAAGGATTTTACTGATTATGGATGAATTGCTATAAATTATGACAATAATTTATATAAATTATAACTTATAAATTATGACAATAATTAAAACTCGTAAAATTATTTATCAAGCTACAACAAAAAAAATTGTTCTTACACTCACTTTGCGACGTGGTGACATAGTCTTCATCTTTGGTCTTGTCTGAGGAATTGTGAAGATTGTGAGGGCTGCTGCTGGAACTGACCGAGGTCACCGCCCCTCCTAGAGAGGCGAGGGAAGTGAGGGGAGTTGTGTGGTGGAATCCGAGGGCAGCCATGGGGGTGAGGGCCGGGGGGAGGGAAGTGGAGAGGCTGGAGGGAGGGAGGTACATTGGAGGGAAGGTTCCACCCGAGGGGTATTGCTTGCCGGAGAGGGGAGGAGAGGGTAATCCATTCCCAGCATTCCCCAGGAGGTCCTTGTGGTGGTAATGTGAGGGGAAAGCATGCCCCATGTAGGGGAGGAAACCGTGGGGCATGAACCCTGGGGGTAAACCCGCTATTTTCGGTGACAAAACCCCTTTGTCGGCTGGTCCGGGGCTGTCTTTAGGCTTGCTTAGGTTCAGGGGTTTTTCGTCAGGGTTTTCGGGGTTGTGAGGGGCTTGTGAGGGTTGTGAGGGGGTTGTGATGAGGGATGAGGATGACCCTGATGTTTGTGTCAGCTGAGCGAGCTGAGCTGACGCTGACATCCATGCTGGCACCTGAAGGAAGTCAGCAGGTCTGGGTTAGAACAAACTATAAATATTAATATAATAATGATAAAAACTATTTCCCAAAGCTAATTATAATATAAAAATCTATAGGTATTATTTTATGCGATGATTCTATGTATATGAACGTTCTGTCGGGTGATTAAATAACTTATGTTGACATCGCTATAACTTAATGAATTACAAAATATTCTCACTTGAACTGAGCCATATTGGAATTTAAATCTCTTTCCATTCATATTTTTCATACCTACAATCATGTTGAAGAAGTATTCTTCAGTCATGCAACTCTATATTATCTCAAATTCAATTTTTTTCAGTTCTATCGAACTTTAGATAAATTCAAAATTTGTTGTTATTATTAAAATAAATTTTAAATTGTTGATATCAATTTCGAACTATTTCTAGCAGTTTAGAATTATTTCTAATAATTTAAAGAAATTTAAATTTATTTAAGTAATATAAGTTTATTTATATAAGGTAACTAACATTTATTTATACAAAGTAATTAAAATTTCTTTAAACAAAGTAATTCAATTTATTTATACAAAATAATTTAATTTTATTTATACGAAGTAATTTAAATTTATTTATTTAAAGTAAAATAATTTATTTATGCAAATTAATATAAATTTATTTATACACAGTAATTTAAATTTTTTTATTCAAAGTAATTTAAATTTATTTATACAAAGTAAAAAATTTCTCTATGCAAAGCAACTTAAATTTATTTATGCAAAGTAATTTATACTTCTTTTTTCAAAGTAACATAAATTTCTTTATAAAAAGTAATTCAAATTTATTTATTCAAAGTAAAAAAATTCTCTATACAAAGTAATTGAAATTTCATTATACAAAGTAATTTAAATTTTTTTATACAAAGTTACTAAAATTTCCTTATACAAAGTAATTCAAATTTATTTATACAAAGTAGCTACAATTTATTTATAAAATTATTTTATTTTCATTTATACAAAGTAAAAAATTTCTCAAATCAAAGCAACTTAAATATTATTTATACAAAGTAATTTGTATTTCTTTATACAAAGTAATTAAAATTTATCATCGAAAGTGATTACAATTTCATTATACAGAGTAGCTTAAATTAATTTAGACAAAGTAACATAAATTTCTTTATACAAAGTAATTCAAATTTATTTATTCAAAGTATAGAAAATTCTCTGTACATAGTAATTGAAATTTATTTATGCACAGTAATTTAAATGTATTTGCATAAATTTTCAAAATTAAACTCACCGACACCGAAGCAGGCACAGAAGTGACGGCCTTATTGCTGTCCTGCAGCAGCAGGTGGGAGGACACTGCAGCAGCTGCAGCAGCTGCAGACGCTGCAGACGCTGCAGGAGGACTTGCACTGCACTGCTGCAGAGGAGGGAGGGAGGGGGGAGGAGGGGGCACAGATCCCCCTCCTCCAGCCCCCCTCAGTCCCTCCAGGAGGGGGAGGTACATCAGGCTCTGGGGGTGTAGGCCCCCGCTCGCCCCCCCGTACTGACTGTTGTAGAGCTGACTCTGTAATTTATGTAAAAAAATACAGTTAATGAAGTATGTAAATAACGAGTAACGTGAAAGTTATAATTAATTCTAAGTAATAATATTGCATTATTATTAATGATATATATTACACAAATATTGCATTGCATTATTGCTATATAAGCAATAATGCAATATAATGGGGATGCTTTAACATTTGGAATACCAATTTAAAATAAGAATGGTTTTCGTACCAAACATTTTAATAAAGTTACAATAATGGACACTAAAAATCACTTAGGTGGAAGCAATGCTTTAATAATTATATTGAAAATATAATTAAATTATATATGTCGTTAATATAATAATATACATGATTAATTAAATAGCGATGCAGTCTCTGGCAGTGACAGCTAAAAATTACGGTCGGTTATCGGCGGCCAACGGTTGAACAACGATTGGCCGTCGCTAATACGGCTCTGATTTTTAATAGGGGTCACACTAAAGTTACATAGTAAATACTTACAATATTCAGGTTGCATAATGTGCGCATAGATAATTTATGTTGCATTATGTGCACATAGATAATGTATGTTGCATAATGTATGAATAGATAATTTATGTTGCATAATGTACGAATAGATAATGTATGTTGCATAACGTACGACTAGATAATGTATGTTGCATAATGTATGAATAGATAATTTATGTTGCATAATGTACGAATAGATAATGTATGTTGCATAATGTACGCATAGATAATGTATGTTGCATAATGTACGCATAGATAATGTATGTTGAATAATATACGCATATATAATGCATGGTGTATAATATACGCATAGACAATTTATGCTTAATAATATAGTCGCAGTGTATGCAAAAAAGAAATCTTATGTATTTCTTTAGAAAAAAACTATGAGGAGTCGGGAGAATGAAAGGCAAGAAGTTATAAGAGATGAGGAAATAGATAAAATGCACAAATAATAGATACAAATTATAACTAATAACAATAATTTCACCGTACATAAAATAATACATTCACAGATTCATGGGACCGTACAAAATATTGTGAATACATTAAAAGTATTTCACAATATTGATTATTAAACGTCGGGAACGATTAGCTGTTAACAGTTGAACGTTCAGCTGTTGCAAGCGTTCATCTGTTGCAAGCGTTCAGCTGCTGCAAGCATTTAGCTGCTGCAAGCGTTCAGCTGTTGCAAGCGTTCAGCTGTTGCAAGCGTTCAGCTGCTGCAAGCGTTCAGCTGCTGCAAGAGTTCATCTGTTGCAAGCGTTCAGCTGCCGCAAGAGTTCAGCTGTTGCAAGCGTTCAGCTGCCGCAAGAGTTCAGCTGTTGCAAGCGTTCAGCTGCTGCAAGCGTTCAGCTGTTGCAAGCGTTCAGCTGCTGCAAGAGTTCAGCTGTTGCAAGCGTTCAGTTGCTGCAAGCGTTCAGCTGCTACAAGCGTTCAGCTGTTGCAAGTGTTCAGCTGCTGCAAGCGTTCAGTTGCTGCAAACGATCAGCTGTTGCAAGCGTTCAGATGTTGCAAGAGTTCAGCTGTTGCAAGCGTTTAGCTGTTGCAAGCTTTCAGCTGCTGCAAGAGTTCAGCTGTTGCAAGCGTCCAGCTGTTACAAGAGTTCAGCTGTAGCAAGAGTTCAGCTGTTGCAAGCGTTCAGCTGCCGCAAGCGTTCAGCTGCTGCAAGCGTTCAACTATTGAAAAAGTACCAATTAGCAGTCGCAACATGGGAGTACATAACCATTAGGAATTGGCAGTCTTGAATTGAGCACACCTATTAATGGATGCAAGTTAGTACATTAAAAACTAGCACCCATCTGGACAACTATATAGTGCATGGAGGCAGTACGCAGGTGAATGTTGTTTAGACCATCAAGTGCCCTTAAGGGTGGTTTCAACCATTAGGTGCCCTTAAGGGTGGTTCTAACCATTAGGTACCCTTAATTAAGAGTGGTTCTAAACATTAGGTGCCCAAATGGGGTGCTAATAAATGAGTGCCCTACGGGTGGTTCTAACCATTCCAGATGCCTTAAACGTGGTTCTAACCATTAGGTGCCCTTAAGGGTGGTTTCAAACATTAGAAAAGGTGACGAAGCGTATTCAGCTCCTAATAGGCCCGAAAAATTCCTGCCGACTCGAATACATATACAAATTTACAAAATTTTTGGTTATTTGGGGTAGTGATGTGTTAGAATTATTAATAGTAAGTCTGTCTTAACCCATTATATGAATAGATTCAATATAAATACAGTTATCTATAAGATTTCTCTGAGCTAACCTGTGCTTTCTTACTCACCATACTGAGTATAATTGAGAGTATTTATAATATTAAGTAATAATTTTATTGGACATTTTATTGCGCACGATGAATTAATTATATTTTTATTTATAATAAATTAAAAATTATCTATATTTTGATATAATAATAACATTTATAATCATAAATACATCATTATTTAATTTTATGTTATGTGCATTCTTACGATTATCCGAGTATATACATTATTTATTTATTTTTTTAAGTATATACATCCTATACCATTATTATAAAAATTACATTTGTATTTTCATTCCCTAATTTGTTAATAATTAATTAATAATTCAGAGCAACAACATTCCAGAGCCATTACGTTTTGATCCTTAATTTTTTTTTTTTTTTTTTTGTTAAAGCGCATGCGGCAGTAAGTGAAACATGCACAGCATTTACCGTAGACTTTCGTAGAAACTTTATCAATAGAAATTTGTTAACGAGTTTGCCGAATGATTGTAATAAAAACGAAATTAAACATGAAGTGGATAAGATAAACTAAAGAAAAAATTCGACAACTAAGGACTTCCATTGAAAAAAGTGGCTGATAGCATTTGATGAAGAAATCTACTAAGAACCTCTAGAAGATGTCTACTAAGGACTTCAAGTAAGGAGTTCGTTAGAGTAAATTACTAAGAACTCTTCCTAAGGGCTCTTAATTCATATTGGGCTCCTAAGAGCTTCTAATTAGCACATTATCAGGACATTATATACGATATATAATTAATATACGTTCTATATTCTAATGTTGATCTTCAATGTTTGTGCGCATTATAATGTTTTGCCTTAACTTCGATGTATATTAAAACAGATTCATATTGAATAACAACCTCATAATAACATACAATAACATTTAATCTGAAATATACAACTTCCATGAGTTTAGAAAACTATTAATAGCTCTCTCATATGTATAAAAAAATAATACATCCTGATTTTTTACATTCAATGGATACACAAAGTAATAATTATGATAATAAATAAATTAGATTAAAAAGTAAATTATTAAAATTATGATACTAGATGAAATCAAAATTTTAAATGCACAAAAAATATATAACTTTAGCAATTATCATTATAAATATTTTATTACCAGCCATTCGATGGCGAGCGCCGTGTCGTTAATCATCTTGTTGGTCTTGCGGCTTCGATTAATTATCTTTCATTGATCAACTCTACTATCAATTAGTATCTATTTAACAATCTGTTTTAATGATTATCATATCATTATTGGGGAATTTCAATTAAAAATTAATGAGGAATTAATAGTGTTATAGCAAATAATATTGTTTTTTTAAGAAAATGAATTGTCTCTAAGAAATTTTTTGGTAAAGCCGTCCGAGGGAAGAAGGCAGGCGGGTCGAGGAAAGAAGGCAGGCGGGCCGAGGTCAGTCGGGGGAAGAAGGCAGACAGTCGGGGGAAGAAGGCAGACAATCAGGGGAAGAAGGCAGACAGTCGGGGGAAATGTACATTCAGTAAAATGAATCAAATTTTGTCCAAACATTGATGACAATTTTATATTAAATGTTTTTGTGCTGGCCACCCTGACCGAGTTTGTCTCAGCAAAAGAACGTATCACTGCTACGTGCAGAAATTGTGTCAATACTGGTCATTTATTTGTCTTAGTGTTTCGATTATATAATTCCGTCTCATTCTGAAGAACTTCAATAAAGTTTTGATCTTCAAAAGTGAACGCAAAGTTGATTCTAAAAACTTGCAGTCCTACGCTGGACGTAAGTTCTAAAGTGAACGTAAAACCTGCGTTCTGAAACTGCAGAATAATGTTCAAGACGTCGTAAACGTTTCGACGAAATACGGTTTTCGTGTTGAATTCAAAGTTCAACGTCTTTTCAAACGCGTTATCCACAAAATATTCTAGTAAATAAGAAATAAATTCAAGCAGAGAAGATGTGCTATATATCAACGAAATCCCTTAAAAAACACCACAATAACACAATCAACATTACAACCAATGTCTTCTTTATAAATCCAGTTAAAAATCGTGAAAATCTGTTTCAAAAATCACTAATCACCACAAAATTAAATCCCCGCAATATACGTCATAAAATATTCACAAAACATTCAAAAGTTTGTATTATTATTCTATTCACGAACATTCAAAAGTTTGTATAGTCGCACCGACACACACACAATGCGTCGCGAGCGCAGATACACGATGCTCTCTGCACGACACCACACACAAGTGTGAGCAAAAATCTGCACTCTCTGTGTGTGTTTGTGTACGTCTGTGTGAGGCCAGCCCTCTGTGTACACGCACACACGCCGGCCCCGCCTCCGCGACAGAGCCTCCTCCTCTGCCTCAGCCTCCCGACGTCGCCGAGACGCAAGACTTGCGACTGTCTCTGAGCGTCTCTGAGCGTCTCTGAGCGTCTCTGAGCGTCTCTGAACGTCTCTGAACGTCTCTGAACGTCTCTGAGCGTCTCTGAACGTCTCTGAACGTCTCTGGACGTCTCTGAACGTCTCTGAACGTCTCTGAACGTCTCTGAACGTCTCTGAACGTCTCTGATCGTCTCTGAACGTCTCTGAACGTCTCTGGACGTCTCTGAACGTCTCTGAACGTCTCTGAACGCTACGTCTCTGAACGTCTCTGAACGTCTCTGAACGTCTCTGAACGTCTCTATAAACGTCTCTGAATGTCTCTGAACGTCTCATTACATATCTGAACGTCTTTGAACGTCTCTGAATGTCTGTGAAGGTCTCTGGACATCACTGTTCGTCTTTTTACGGCTCCGAACGTCTATGGACGCCTTTTATTGAACGTTTTTTTTACGTTTCTGAACGCTTGTGGACGTATTTGTCCATCTCTCGACGTCTCTGAACGCTGCTGGACGTATTAGCATAACACTTCTGGACGTAACAGGGCATGCTAATATTACGTCTTAACAGTGCATGTGTACTGCATCAGTAAACAATTACTGTTGAACAGAGTTGGTATCACATTTTTGTTCACACGGCGTGTCAGTCATACAGCTCATGTCAACAGTGCCTATCAACAGTGTGTGGCGAAAATATGTCAACATAATCACTCAACAGCGTCTGTTAAACAGACCAGCATTCTCAGCCCGTCCCACAACACTGCGTCTGTTGTCTGTTGTCTGCACCGGAACAGGAATCCCTCAGATTCCTGAGATTCCCAGCGAGGGCATTCCTTGTCTGGCGTCGAGTGCCGCAACAAAGCCCTCTTTAAGGTGGTGCTTGAGAGCCGCGAGCTCTCAGGCAGGCTTGGCTGAATCCCTATGAGAATCTATCACTACGTATAGTCATTATAACTCCGCTCGTAAATGAAATATCAATCTGAATTTTGTCATGCTCATTCAGCTATTTATTTACAATTTCTCTACAGTAACAAAAAATATGTATATTTTGTCTAAGCATTAGTTACGATAGAGGAAAATGTTGTTTATCGCTCAATCAATGTTCATTATACTATATGCGACTTACCTAATTTTGTGAGACACAAGGATGTAGTACTATTTATTCTCTATTGATCGGTATTAAAGACATATATAAATCAACCTCTATTTTGTAGATATTTTGTAACAAAATATTTTTTCATTACTGCTAAATCGGAGATTTCACATTTTCTTTGGAAGCCGCAGTTCTCATGAAGGAGTTGGGGAAAAAATGAGGGGAAACACACCTCGTAAATTTCCCGCCTGTCACTCTTGTGGTGAAGGGGAGCACAATAAGGGGCGAGTAATAATGGTTGGCCAGTGGTCTGGCCTCGGCCAGTTAGTTTTAGTCACCGCAGGCCATTCCTCGGCCACCTAAGAGACGGCCGCAGCCCCTTAGATGGGTGCTGGCTCAGGTATCATATTACAAAGGCAACAAGCTCGAGCGCAACAACTTGCCGATCTGAACACAGAACAAGGGTTCCACATCCTTGTCGCGAATTTCTCGCTCACGGACTTCGCCGCACTGTGACTACAGGCCTTAAGTGAGGGCTTGTGAGGGCAGCATAAATATTGAGGGTAAAAAACCGAGGCCAGGAATAAGCCTAAATTCCTGGCCTCATGAAAGCCTCTTTGATGCACCAAATATTTTGCTGAATTCAATTAGACATTTTCTGTATTTTTCACGCTGCTTTTCCGCTCCGATTATCTTAAAAAAATATTTTTCTAATCTTATACTTTAGCATAAAATATAGGCTGAATATTACTTGCGGGAAAAAAATAGTTATATTCTGATTCACTATTATATACTCGAACAGCACTACGTACATTGTGAATTGAGGAAAATTATAAAACATTATCACTTTCTCTATCATTTGCTAATGATGATCTCGCTGTTAATCATTGCCCAAGTGCTGAGGAGTGAAGCGTGTGATATTAATACACAGACGTGAAATGTATGAAGCGTATACACAGGAGTGAAGTCATGAAGCTTAATTATACTCCGAAATGAATGTATTACGCTTATACGCCGAATTGAAGGGCATGAAACATATGCATATAAGTGAAGCGTATTGATCGTATACACAGAAGGGAAGCGTATGAAGCGCATACTCAGTAGCGAAGCCTATATAAACCCAGAATTGAATCGCATATTGTGCGCAGAAGGGAAGCGTTTGAAGCGTATATACTCAGAAAGAGAAGCGTATGAAGCGTATACTCAGTACTGAAGCCTATACTCAGAATTAAATCGTATAAGCAGAAGTGAAGCGTGCGAAGCATTTACCCATAAATGAAGCGTACTCACAGGAGTGAAGCGTATAATATTCGGGAAAAAATGCGTATATACGCATTATAGTAACTTACAAAGCGTCCGTACAAAAGCGCAGCGTATTGTGCCCTGAAGGTGCGTAAAAAGAAGCGTGTAGGCTCAATTTATACGCAAAATGTCGCTAATGAAGACAATCTTTTCATCGGCCATGCGGGCCTGGAATCTCGCGACATTCCCGTCAGATTCCCGCGTTCCTGGCGGGGTTAAAAGGTGCCATTCCTGCCGGCTTACGGGCACCGGATTACGGCTGCGGCTTGAAATTCTTACGGTGGTCGTAAGTTCTACGGTTGGAGTAAGTTCTACGGGGGTCGTAATTAAGTTCTGCGCTTGGAGTAAGTTCTACAGTGGTCGTAAGTTCTACGGTGGGAGTAAGTTCTACGGCTGAAGTAAATTCTACGGTTGAAGTAAGTTCTACGGTGGTCGTAAGTTCTACGGTGGTCGTAAGTTCTACGGTTGGAGTTGTATGTTCTGCGGTTGGAGTAAGTTCTACGGTTGAAGTAAGTTCTATACGGTGGTCGTAAGTTCTACGGTTGGAGTATGTTCTACGGTTGGAGTAAGTTCTACGGTGGAGGTAAGTTCTACGGTGGTCGTAAGTTCTACGGTGGGAGTAAGTTCTACGGTGGTCGTAAGTTCTACGGTGGGAGTATGTTCTACGGTTGGAGTAAGTTCTACGGTGGTGGTAAGTTCTACGGTGGTGGTAAGTTCTACGGTTGGAGTAAGTTCTACGGTGGTGGTAAGTTTTACGGTGGTCGTAAGTTCTACGGTGGGAGTAAGTTCTACGGTGGTCGTAAGTTCTACGGTGGTCGTAAGTTTTACGGTTGGAGTATGTTCTACGGTTGGAGTATGTTCTACGGTTGAAGTAAGTTCTACGGTTGGAGTAAGTTCTACGGTGGTGGTAAGTTCTACGGTTGGAGTAAGTTCTACGGTGGTGGTAAGTTCTACGGTGGTCGTAAGTTCTATACAGTGGTCGTGAACATTATACGTGAGTGAACGATGTAACGTAAACGTTGCGTGATGTAAACGAAAACACACTTGCTTTAGCAAAAAGTTCATTTCACAATAGGCTATCATTCATCAGTCGAGGTGAATAATGCATGGGTTAGAACACATGTGGATGGATCATAATGAATGTCTTGAGTTAATATGTGGCTTACTCAACCGCTGTGAGTGATGGATATGAGTCCAATTATAAACTCTAGTAAAAGAAGGAAACGAAGCGAATATTTGAGTTTACATTGTCAATAAAATAGAACTCAATTCCTGCCGCCACATTATGTATGTGTTGAACTGGGTATATTTTAAACATTAAATGATGTACATGGTTGAAGAATCAGTATTTATTTGCTAGAGTTAATAATATTTTATTAATCAAATTTCCATAAATATTTATGGAATCTTTGTTTTTTTAGCGAAATGCACGAAACTTTGAGTTGAGAGTTGATTATACGATATGCAGTGA